GAGGGACTGTTTTTGGGAAAAGGAAAAGGTTCAAGTTTAAGTGGAACACCATGGGGATTTGTTTTTGTAATTATATCAGAAAGACAAGCTTGGTTGGACTTGATGATGGGGTTGATTCCAAACAATAGATCCAGGAAAGATATGGACCGTAACGGTCTCGGGTTTGCTGGTCATTATACTTGGATCGGTTGGGGGAATGGGGTGGAAGGGGCAATAGAGCTTGTTTTTCTAAACTCTAAGATCTCTATAAATATGAATTGGATAGGTGAGAGTATAAGGTACCTGGCATTTCACACATTAATAAGTTCTCAGTTTGTACATTCACAGTGCAGTAATGAACTCACTCAGCCAGATACAATCTCCATATATTATCCTGAAAGCCCCCATTATCTGAGTCAGCTGCCATTCGTAGCTCTGTATTGATACGACCAGCTTTCAGAGTTTAAGCCTGAGTTGCCAAAAGAGACAGTAATAATGATGTGTGGTCACCTTGCGGTAAGGGCACGTCCCTGCTTGCATAGCAATGATGTTAGAGGGAAGCTGCCTCAGATGGATACATAACAAGCAGACGACAGTCATAGAAAGTCATCTCCCTGGTGCACATAAAAAGGTGGAAATGTCTGGCTAGCTCAACTAATTAGTAATCAGAGAGCGCAGAGCTGGCTGGAGACCAAAATTATGAGATTTAGGGTAAAATAAAGTTTGCTTGACTTGTCCTGGTATTTACTCGGCGGTTCACTCCTGTCATTATCTTTGATTGTTTTGCTTCATGGTAAGGCCTGTTGTCTAACAAAAACACATGTTCTGAGCGGAAATTTTGATTTATGAGGAAACACTGTGGATGTTTTTCCTGTGAAAACACCTAAATACAGTTACATTGTCATGTTTGATCTGAACTGATTAAACACATTTCCCTTAAAAAGTGGGTTAGGAGATGCTGCAATCACATATGCTTTCTGTTCTTTCATCCAAAACCAGACTGTCGTCCAGCTAAGGCAGCATCCAGCTGTCACTGAGCGCCAAAACTACAGGAGCCAGAAAATTCACAGATTGACTGCATGTGTACTTTTAATAGGCAATTTGAAAGGGAAAATCAGTTGAATCGTCAATAATTCATTGTTTAGTCAGTTGAGAGCAGGGAAACCATATTATCATAATTGAAGCTGATAATGACCATTTTATCCAGACATCTGTGTGTTTGAATACAGTAGATATTAAGCAGTATTCCAGTTCATTGTAAATATGTCTCTCAGGCCATGCTGAGGTCTGTAGTGTAAAGTCCTCTTAAGTCGTTGTCTCCACTGAATTTTTAGGAAGGTATCTGACTTTTTAACTGCTATATGCACAAATTTGTTTGCCACCTGCTCACTAAGTTGCTATGCTTCTTTGAGCAAACTCTTTCCTGTTGCATTGATCATTTCAAGTGTTTTAGAAATATTGATTATGGAGGCTGGAAGAAAGGTCTAGTTCATTTTTTGAGTCCACATTGCTTAGATTTTATGGGGTAGTAAGATCACATTCACTGGAAAATAAACCTGTTGACCACATATTCAGCTGACGTGCAGAAAACCTAAGAACTGCTTTACCACTTGAGTATTGGTTGTTTTCTGGGTCTCTGGGGACGTAATGAAGCTGTCATGTGTACTCTGTAGTGCGCACTGCACTGAAAGGGAATTTGGAGGCCACGGGGCATGCAAGGTGTGCACAGAGGCATAAGTGAGGGTAGTCTCGGGTCAAAAGGAGCCCGACAGCAAATTTTTGTCTCACTGCCCCATTGCTGCTTAATCTGGTCTTTAAAACCCCTTAGCAGTCGGACGTACCGCCCACGGGACATTGGATGGTTTAGGGGACTAATTGGACTGCTAAGGGGTTAAATGGATCAGTTATCATAGTTTTGTATTTTTGAATTAGCTTTTATTTTGTATTATTTTCAGTTAGTTTTCTGAGTGGATTTTCTTGTTTCGGATTAGTTTATAAAATGTTTACTTTTAGTTTTTAATTAGCATCAGAGTTTAAGTCTATTTTAACTGTTACTGTATAAAAGGGAATTGTCAGAGGCAAGATTTAGGAAAATCTGTACAATTATTACAATAAAAACAGAACTTTTTGAAAGCAGTTGACTCTTGTGGAGTCTCGATAAACATGTCCCTCAGTGTCATCAGGCAAGCTGTAATTAAAGTTTTACCAGACACTAAAGGATATTTCCTCTATATTTCTATTTTATTTTCGTTTTCAAAGTTCACAAAATCATTACAGTTAGTGTTAGTGTAGTGTAATTTTTATTTTTTTTCATAATAGATATTTTTTTCATGTCCAGTTTTATTCTACTTTTTGTAAGCTATATTCACATGGGTGCACGTAAATATGTAGATCATGTCGATCTAGTAAAAACAAGCCAACATCTGCTTCAATGTCCACTTTGGCTGATGCCTCTATTTTCCTCGTTTACTCTGTCTTACATGGGAACTGAATTGATTCCACTGTACGATTATCAATGACTTGACTGTGTAATTTCTAAGACATGCACACTAATGATGCTGATAGCGATACCAGCAGCAGAGACGGGGATAACAGTGTTCGTTCTAACGGTATGGCTGGCAAAGCTGGAAGTGCTGATGGGTGCTGGCTGTCTAAAGCATCCTGTTGCATGAGCCGACTGCAATGTAAACCCTGCAGCACATGTTCGACAAGCCAACGAAACATCTCGGGGAATATTTATTTTAACAGGCCAAATGATACTTCTATTTCTCTCAAGAGGAATGTTAAGGTTAAATGATTCCCCCTTAGAAAGAAAAACACTGGGGTTGAACTAAAGGGGAGCTGAAGATGGAGAGATGGGTTAAAGGTTTTGCCCGAACTAGTTGCTTGGTTTTAGTTCAGATGAAGAAGTGAGTGCAAGATGGTGCAGTGTTGAAAAGGGATGTAATAAAATGATAATAATAACATAATTTCATGTATTCGTGTTTTGTGAAAGTATTTTCTCTGTTTATATTATAACACATTTAGTGCAACTGACCTGTTTGGGAAGTTATTTTGAAATGTAGTAGGTCACAAATTGCTAGACATAGCTTTAAAACGCAAGACTATAAGTAATTCAGTCATGTGCCAGATGCATTCCTTGTAAGTAATAAAACAGGAAAGTTCTCTACAGGCTGAAGACGTTCCCTTAGGTTTGATCATTTTAGTAGCAGTACAAGCCACTTGCTGCAAATTATTGTAAATTGTTTCTGGTGATTAAGGACCCTGGAATGTACTTTATTCCACCCTTGGTCAATAGCGACTTCTTGGCTTTCAATATATTACCTCCCCTGCTGGTACTGCAGCTTCTGCATGCATGTCCTTTTCATGCTTTGGAGAGGCAAAGCGTGAAATGGACACGGTGGATGTCTGTTACACGTTTTTCCATGATATCGGGTGGAACTGTGACTAGGATAAAGCAACTAAAATAGTGCATATTGCATGAGAAAGGCAACTGGATGCATAGAAGCCTCAGGTGGGTGATTAGCAGATGTTTGGACACACACTCACAAAAACACTAATGCATTAAAGTTACATTTTCATTTTCTACTGTAATGTAACTCCACTTCTTGCATAGGTATGTAACTAAAAGCAATTGACTGAAGAGCTAGTTACAAATTGTCTTGAGTTAAAATTTCAATAATTTCCAAGTATTATCAAAGTACTATTCAAATAGGTTACATTTCACAAACTTTTTAAGTAGACATTATCACTTAATAACTACTTGTACTCATCACATGTCAAGAGGTGTCCACACAGGAAGCAACAACCAGCAACATGGCAACCTCAGACCATAGAGAGCAATTAGGTCATCTTACCATTTACACATTTATACTGTCACAAGGGAGGGAAACAAATGTCAGCAGCATGAAGTAGGCTAGTCATTAATGCTCAAACGTTAAACTTTTCTCAACTTCAAGGATTAAAGCACTTACAGGTGACAATGAATGATATGATTGACATATGACAGAGTGGAAAATATATCAGTGGGGTTATATAGTTGTCCCTGAAATTAAATACATATTCATTTAGTTGAGGAGTAATAAGGAACAGAATATTCATCAAAATTATAACTTTCTTCTCATCCCAAAGCAACTGTGTAAAAGTCATATTTTTCCACAGCAACACTAATGAGCACCTACATTTACAAAGCCACGGTTTACACTTGACTTTAGTTGTACGTGTTTAAAAAAAACAAAACACTTAAGCATAAATACAGCTCCTGCGACTCCATGTGTAACCACTTCTTCGTAAACCTTTAGCACACAAGTATAAATTGGGTCAAAGTATTTAAAATGATCACAAAGCATGAATTTATGGGTAGCTCATGAAAATAGATAGATAATAATAGTTAATAAACTTCAACATGGCTATTTTGCTCCTTTCGCCATCTCTCACCCTACCATGCACTTAATTCACAACACATTTCAACATACCTGCTGCAGCCAGAACCAGGCTCACTTTTAACACAAACCCTATTGTCAGAAGGACTATAAAACTATGAAGTCGAAAAAAAATTACCTAAATAAATGTGAAAATATGCAGAGGGCTTGCAGTCATGAGAGGGCTTGTTGGGAAAGTGAATTATTTTAATGAAAAAGTCATTCCTGGGGAGAGGAAAAGGCCCGGCTGCAGGCTGTTTGTGCATGGCTTAAGTTTCTCTTCTGTAATAAAAGCACAAGGACTTATGTGTCCACATGTGTGTGCCGTGTGTGGGTGTACTGGGTTGAGCGTGGAATAAAGGAGACAAAGTAGACGGCCAGTTTCTTGAGACACACACACTCAAATAATTAATCTCAAAAACTGGCAGAAAAAAAAAACTGTCTGGAGATAGCTTCATCCACTACACATGAATTGTAGCATTTGGAACAGTTTGACTTGTGGACAAAACATAGAACGGCCACACGCAATATCGCTGCTTTTTCTGGTCTTTATCTCTTCATGTTTCCATTGATGCAGTTATGTTTGTCTTCTGCTTCCAGACTCTGATGGATTAAGGCAGCGGGGGATGGAGCAGCCTGCCCAAGAAACCCTCCTACTACCTAAAGCTTGCTGAATTTGAACCTACAGTGAGCTGACAGGAACAAAGCAGAGTCAAAGACAATCTCCTTTTGTGCAGCCTTGTGACAGAACAGACTCTGTAAGGAGGAGGAAGAAAAGCAACTACGTTACACGTTGGACATCCCGTGAGGATCAAGAGCCTCAGGGTGGCCCGATCATGAAACCTTCCACCTCTGGTCTTCTGCTGGTTCTAATGTGCTGCCCCCTCCTGGGCTTGGTCCATTCTGCCAGCAGCAGCAACAAGGCCAGCGATAACGGACACGCACACCTGGGAGATGCTGACCCAGACCGCTGCATGAGGCATCACTTTGTGGAGACCATCACACACCCAATTTATAAATGCAACTCCAAGGTAAACCTACCAACACACTAAAAGCCAACCTTTCATATGAAATCTAGATAGTTGTCAATGTTTGTTATGTGACTTTTACTTTGTTTGATGTATTAAATGTTTATTGTTGCCAGTGTTTAAATGGAGTGCAATATAAGTTCAAAAATGAGACCATCCCCGAGTCTCTCAGTTCCCTCTGTCAGCCGGTGGTGTGATTACTGTGTGAACGATGTGATTGAACTTTTCCACAAAAACCCAAAGGATGTGACAATTATTCTACACCCCACGTAGCTCAGTGCCTGCCTTCTAGTGCAAGTGTCAAGAGCAGAAAACAACAGCTTAGAACATAAGTCAACTAATAAGCCCTGTCATACACTGCAGGATGAAACATAAGGTTAGCTAGCTACCTGGTGTTGGTATCAAGTTGTCCATGTTAGCTGATGAGCTGAAATTAGCCAGAACACAGTTTTATTTAAGTTGGATGGTCTGGAGATGGAAGTGGAAATTTGACTATCAGGGGAAACTGTGGTGGACTTCAGGATGTTTAGTTTTCAGAGTCACGGACAAACTGCAAACAGCAGGGTCTGCTAATTAATCTAATAACTTAGCTGGACATTTTAAAACGACTTTATCTGCTAATGTTACCAAAGCTGAGTATGGCTAATCACATCTTGCTTGTCAGTGAAAATCATATCTGAATGAAAATGCTAGTTGGTTAGCTTGCCCAGCTAAAGTGATCATTGATTATACAGTGTCACATGGTACTGATTTTAGTAAATCATGCAATGGCAAAGATATCTATGAGTAATATTTACTTTAAACAAAATATGGTTTTCTTTTCAACATGGAGGTGGTTAGCAAGCTGTCTGCAATTTAGCTTTGATGTCTTTATGTTGACACGCAGTGTTTATACCGGTCTCCTGGTTTCTGTTCAAGATACAAGAAATACAGCACATACAACAGAACAACATTTTTTTGCAGGACAGTGTTGACTGGCGAAAGTACAAGCTGAGCATGAACCTGAGCTATAGCCTACTGATCACCTGGGTGGAGGTGTCAGCAATAACAGTGGTTTTCTAAGGTTGCACAGAGCTCCTTAAGGTAATGGGCCATTTGCTTCAAATCAAGCTCCTGAGCCTAAGAATAATACCCAGCAATGACTTAAGAGCCATTTTTTCTCACAAATTCCTTCCTTTCTACTAGTATTGCTCATTTCCCCTTGAAAGCCTTTCTCCATTTGACCATTCTAGTGTATCATTCTTTCCTTTGCTCTCTTAATCTCCATCTCTTTTAGAAGAGTCACATAGGAGTGTGTGTATATGTGTGTGTGTTGGTGGTTCTGGAGATGGGCCACGCTGCAGACATATTCTGCACCTCAGCTGGGGCTCAGATTTGGCTGAAGCTATCGTGTCGCTGTTAGCCTGCTCGCTCGTGCACTGCCAGGTGCTAAAGAGGGGGAGAGAGAGAGATGGGGTGAGGAAAGAAGAAGAAAAGTGGAGAGGCAGTGATTAAACAATGGTGTGGTGTGTATCCTGACAACTTAAAGACAGCCACTTGACGTAAAGAGACTGATGATCCCACTGAGTAGCACCAAACATGTGAATGCTATTGTGGGAAGGTGCTGTCGATTTTCCCTCTTTCCTTTTGTTGTGCACCAGTGCAGTTGCTTGTCTAGCGTGAGTGATCTGTTCTTTGGTCTTTTTTTAATATTCTGACTCTGAGTGCATCAAGCAGGTGGCCAAACCGCAACTCGGCTCAGGCGAGGCAGGGCTGAACACACACTCAGCATGAGCTTGGCTTTCTATTACAGCGCACAGAGAGCCGAGTGGAAGCCTAACTGAGCAACTGTTTTACACCTCAGGCCTGATTTAGACTTCTGTGGTGAATCTTTGTAGTGCCTACAATGTAACCTACGTAAGTGGCCGACTTCTTGCCGGCATTTATGCCTGTGCTGGTGCGTTATGTGCTAGTTAGCATGTGGTCGTGTCCTTTGTTTTATATGCGGTGCCAGCGGATAGAAACCAATAAAATGATGGGCCCTCACGCTTTGTTGTGTTCTTTTTTGTTGTTTGCTTCTTTTCTGGGGTAAACTATATTGGTTCCTCGAGTCTTTCCACTTTCATATTTTGGCTGTGTACAGTACTGTGCAAAAAGTTTGAGCCAGCTGTCACGTCTTTATATTTTGATTCTGCAAAGCCAAACTTCCCTGTCCTTTTAACCTCTTAAGCCCCAAGCCTAACTGATCTCCTGCCTTTTGCTCCCGTGTCAGGAGACGTTGGGGCTTAAGAGGTTGTCTTGAGTGATGGGTCCTCAGGTTGTCTGAAGGTGTTTTAAAGCTTTTCTTTGAACATTTTCATTCCAGTCCTTGTACCTGACCATTTTCAGAGGATTTTCATTTTTAATTCTTGAGTTTTAAATCCCTTAATGCTGACCTATGAATTAGTATCACAAAAGTCATTTAACAAAGGGATGAGCCAGCGTTGTGTCTACACAGACAATTTAGTAAATAAACAATTTTAAAAGTATCTTCTGTCACTTTATTTTGTCTTTTGTCAAATAGTTTGATAGACTTAAAATAGCAGTAGTAGGCGATTTGGAAAGAGCTGTTAGCTGAAAACTTGTTGCCATATCTCATCATGTTGTGCATTGTGCCCTGAAATATTTAGAGGAAACTGGGGGACAAAAGAAGTGGCAGGCTTAAAAATATACATCAGATAAACAGTATCTGAAAGGCCCGTTCTTAAGGAACAGGAAAAAATCCAGTAAAAAAAAAAACTGACACAAGACCTGAGCGATGCATCTGGCACTCCAGTTGATCCAACTTCAGTTTGATGACCATCAGAAATGGTCTCAAGAAGGCAAGAAGGAAGAGAAACAGGGAAAATGTACTTATAATAACTTTATTTATATAGAACAGTTACAAAGGGCTTCATAGTTTGGATAAAAATGCATTAAAGTTAAGTGCACATGTTCAACCATGCAAGCACACAGTCGCTTTCATTCCTGCATACACAGTCCTATACACGCATAGCAGAAGAAAAAAAGGCCACAAATAGACAGCAAAAGATTAAGTAGAAGCTAAACTATAGAAATGAGATTGCAGCAGATGTTTAAAACAAACCCCAGATTCAGCCAACCTGAGCTACAACCACAAAATCGTGATTACCACAAGCTTTAAGATAAGAGCAACAGTTAGGAGACCCCGATCAGATGAGGTTGGCTGCAGTTATGATGTCTCAGTAGCTCTGCTTTATACGCAGGAGCCCGGTCATGAAGGGCTTTATATGTTGTTAGTAACATTCTTAAATGGATTCTGAATGACGGCTAGTTTTTGTTTTGTTGCATCATGTACCAACTGAAGACGGGCTGAAGAGGCTGAGGAATGCATGTGAAAAGTGAGCAGCAATAATCAAGACAGAAGAAAATTGTGTGTGTACAAGAAGTTCCACATTATTTGGAGGCAATTAAGGTTTGATTTTTCAAATGAATCTTAAATGAAAGAAACAAGACTGGATGAGGTATGCCAGATTACACAGTGAACTGGACTAAAAAATCAGTGGCACCAGATCTTATAGAGGTGGATCTTTAGAGGATTTGTATGAACAAGAGAGGGGGACAACAGCGAATGTCTACAGCCATCTGTAAAACATGGCTTGGGGCCAGTAGTGTTGGGGATCAGGCCTCAACATTATTGAAGCAGTGTGCGATCACCTTGACAGAAAACAGAACAAAAGACAGAAACATCCAAAGAACAGCGTTGACTGACCTTCAAAAAGCTGAAAATAAGAAATAACGAAAGCTTTAAAGGTGGTCATAAAAGTGACCATACAAAACACTGACTTTGTGTGTTTTTGCCTTCTATACTCTGTGTATTGTTACACATTTTTCCTGTTTTCCTAGGAACAAAGAAATATGGGGCAGCTCAAGCTCAAGCAGTGCTGTATGACTAGAAAAAAAAAGCTCTCTCTGCTGTCTGCAGCCCAGGTGTTGAGTAATATTCTGGTAGCAAACTCCTCCATTGTAAATTTGAACTTACACCATCACTACGCTAATTCCACAAATAAAGTTGAGTTTACAGGGTGCGAAGAGCACAACTCAGCCAGTGGAAGCAGTTGTATAATGTCCTCTGTGGATCTGAGGGGAGAAGAAAAATAAACCTGGGGATTTCATTATGGTTATCTTGGCACTGTGCAGCGTGCAAAGAAATAGGATTGGGTTTGTTTTTGAATGACTTTCCTGCTTAGATGCTAACGCAACTCTTGCCTGAGCATCTGTCTCAACTTATTAGCAAAAACATGATGAAAACACACAGGTTAGATCCACAGTGTGTGGTTTCCTGCCAGTGCTGAACTGCTGCTTTCTCGGGTTAATGTAAGTAACAGTTGTGACCTGTTTCACCGGAGCTGAAGAAAATTTCTTCCTTAATTGTGAAGGAAAAAAACAATATTTCATACACTGATGTTGTTATTTATTGTACTTTTTTGTGCACAAACATAAAAATTGTACTGTTTTGTTTTTTTGCAGTGCAGTAAAAATGAGTGAAAAATTGTTCAAGATGTTGATTTTTTTTTCTTCCCTCTTTGTTCTCTGCTTATTTTCACCCCTGCTGGGTTTTTGGTGTTGATGTGTGAGTATACTGTACATTGTCATTTATGTGACACTAAACCAACTATAGGGTTCAGTTATTCAAAGAAATGTAGAAAGCCATCTGACAAATGGATTTATCAGAAATTGCCTTTGATTTGTGTTCAAAAACACAGAACACACTTACCAGTTATTACCAGTGTAAAACTAGTTCTTCACCTTGAGTTTTATTTAAGCCTGTAAAGCCTGAAAATTTCCAGAAAATTCCTTTCTTTCAAACTATTGTTTGTCGACCCTTCTGACGAATTTGCATGTATAAGATTTAATTTGTATCATTTTTGCTACGTCCAGGATTTTTGTGCAATTTATTTTTCATAGTTTGTTTATCTTAAACCAAAAAAACATATTAGAGGGTTATAGTTCTTAAAAACTGATGCATCAAATCTGATATACTTGGCATTACAGGGTTAATTATAATTTAAATGCATTAAAAAAAATTCCAAGGTTAAATTTTTTTTTTATAATTAGGGTTCCAACTAACTATTACTTCCACTGCTGATTAATTAATGTGTTGTTCAGTAAATGAAATATCAGAGCACAGGAGAGCCTGAGGTGACCTAAGGCTATAAAATCAAGCTTTCATATGAGAAACTGAACTGAACGTGTTATTCCTCTTAAGTATTACTGCCCTCACAACCCAAGCACAATGGGGCAGAAGAGAATGTGGAGACCACACATGATTTTAACCAAGTGTTTCACCAAAACGTTTAACATGGAGTGAGTTCTTCGGTTATGTGTCTTGTGTGAACAAGTGCTGTGCAAGTAAACCAAAAAAATAATGGTGACAACGTTCAGTAAAAACAAATAATCTGGAGGTCAGCGAGCAGCTGAGTCCGTAGGCCCAAATTGTATATCTGCAGATGAGCAAACCAGGTGTCAGCCATTACTCCCAGGGAGCCATTCCACACATCCAAGCAACGACAAAAAACAGGAAGTGGATCTCGAGACCCTCTAAAGGCCAAGATGACACTTCAGCCTCTAAAACATTAAAACAAACTCTATAACATGTTAAATGCATGAAAAAAATATTCTTGCTGTAAGAGACTACAGTAAGCAAACACAATCCCCCATCCCCACACACAGACAAAAGAAAGAAAATATTTCACTTGCCCCATGCATCTGAATGGATCAGTCACACAAGCTATCCATTTGACGACAGCACAGATTACTGTGTCGACTCTGGATTTTGTCTTTAGGACATGTGGGACTTCCTCACGGGAATCACAAATATTTCAGTGCAGGGTTGCAGAAAACTCGTCCTTCATTTCCGAGTATCTTAGTTCTTAACATAATTACATCTGTCTAAACTTGGACAGCAACACTGCTGCGGACATGCTAGTTGATGACAAAGTTTTAATGCTTTTATTTTGAAATTTTGGTTATTAATTACTTTTATTTTAAAAGACAAATGCTTACATTCTTTATGTCACACTGTAATTACATTGTTACCTAACAGATCCATGTGCATTTAGCAACCCCGGCTCAAATAAAGTCCAATGCTGCTCAGTTTTAGTCTGAAAATCCAAGCAGTGACTTTTTTAAAGTAAAACAGCAGCTGTTGTTGGAAACACTGAAGTAATTTCAGCCAAAATAAGCACCATTATTCCTAATTACAAAAGTACTTGAGTTTAGAGCATAAAACCTCAAATTCAAATTAAAAACTGCCAATAAAAAAACCAAAGTAGGAAAAAGTAACCACAGCGCCTGTCACTAAAACACAACAGACCGATGAATGCAAGGTTCATGTCATATTGGAGTTTTCATGATTAATCATAGCTAGCTTTTCATCGTGAGAATTCAAGAATTTAAGATAATTCTTTTAAA